AACTAGCTAGACGTCTATAGAAATCAGAGTTCACATCAATTTAACCTGAGTATGAGCCTTAGTTCAAGCTTTGTTGTAATACCCAGACTTCCAAGCGCCCCAGCCGCTCCCTTGAATAGGTCGGCATTCTCAGAGCCAGAGGCCGTGACAACTTGTCCAGTTGCAAGCACTATTTCGACCGACCTGATAGTCTGATCGAAGTAACCGTACTCGAAAGAGCTGCTCTCGCCTGCAGACCCAGCGTAGCCTCCGCCCACCGTGATGCCAGGAAACTCCATCACAACCGGTGGAATCATGCCATGAGCAAGAGTGGCCTGGACGAGCTTGTCCATGGGCACATTTGGCTCAACAATTGCAGTGCTAGAGGGTACATCAACCTTCAGAACATTGGACAGGGCGCTGATATCGACAGTGCGGCCGTCGTGGGCTGGGCGAGTGCTGTTCGTTGAGCCATGAAAGATACGAAACGATTGCCGGGAGCTAAAGAAAGCTTTTACTGCAGCTGAAATGTGGGCGACCACCTCCTCGTGAGGTGGCATTCCGTAGCTTAGGGCGTGCAAGGAAGTCTTTGCAATAGACGACGCGTGTGAGGTATTAGGCTGCGAATGGCCAGGATGAAGATAAAGTGTGCAAGAAATGGACGACGCGTGCGAGGTATTAAGCTGCAAGTAGCCAGGCTGAGAAGAAATTGAGAAACTCTATGCAGTCATCGACGCGTGCGGGCGGTAAGGCTGCGGGTGGCCGGGCTGAGGGTGGCCAGGCTGAGAACGAGGCGTATGAGAACTATCTTCTGGGCTGCAGGCGTTCAGGCGCAGGATGAGAACATCCAGGCGGAGGATGAGATGAGGACGAGGATGATCAGAACGAATTTCAGGTGAGACGGTGACGGGACCAAGGGACGATAAATGGATGCAGCTACGCACCGAGTCTAGGCCTATCCTGGCATTTTGAGTATCGAGCCGAGCTGCCACGTGACCGCCACGTGACCGCCACCATGCGGCCGTGTCAACAGTATCTGCGGCACAGCAGCTGGTTTTAACCCCCAATTCCAAGCGCGTTGCACGACTGGTCGCTATTTAAGACACGGTTCTATTATTGTCTTCTGCCCTTCGACCACAAGGGGGGGATACTGTAGCTGATTTGTTTCCAAGTACAGTACCCCCCCCTGAACGGACTGAACACTACTGTGCACGACAGGGGTGGTTTCAGTATCCTCCCCCTGTACGGATTGGACACCACCGTGCGTGTACAAAGTCCTTTGTTTTGAGCACGGTGGTGTCCAGTCCGTACAGGGGGAGAGTGTATGAAAACCCTGGTTCTGTGCACGGTAGTGTTCAATCCGTTTAAGGAGGGGTACTGTATTGGGCGTTGGGAGCTATGTTCTAGAATTTGAGTTCGCTGATGTCTTGTTGCCTGAACGATCTTCACAATCTTCACTCGCTGTGGCGCTCACACCACAACCCCCCTGCAGATGCAAGCGCCCGAGCAGCCGCCTGTAGTCCAAGCTTGCAGTGATCCCAAGGCCTAACAGTCCTACGCTATAAGGTGATCAATGCCGTTCTCCCGCTTTGAGCAGGAGGCAGAAAGCGACACCACTAAATTATCATGAATCCTTCTGTCTGAAATCGAAGACCTATTCTATGTATTAGCAAAAGCAGCCTGATGACCGGCGCCTTTTACTTGGATTCAGTAATTCCTAGGCCCCGTATTAGACTATACTGGGCCAAATCATTGCATGTTCCCTCATCCACCCCAAAATGTGGTCCATGGCTGGATGTCGACGCCGAACATTCGGGGAACTCGGGATATATTGTCCAGCAGCCTCTCCACTATCTGGCTGTGCACCTGGACATGCCTTTGTCTCAACATACCCCTAGCACGCTCCCGTCGGGGGTATCGCGCTCTCTTGCACAAATTCCGCTGGCAGCTCTTTGCCATCTTCTTCCCGGAAGTGCTGGTCGGTACTGCAGCTGAACAATGGTTGTCCGCCCGCCAGTCGGTGACAGCATTTTCCCGGCTGGGCCATTCTCAATGGACCATACGACACGGTTTCTTTGCTGATATGGGCGGTATCCTGGTTGCGTTTCGAGATTGCGAACCGTTTCCTGTTGACAGCCAGCAACTCGCCTACCTGGTGGAAAATAAACACCTAGCCATGCCGGCCATCTCAGTAGACGACATCCTGTGTGTGGATAAAGCAAATGGGCTGGCACGCTTTCTTACCATGGTTCAGATGCTCTGGTTCTGCGTCTCCTGCATCGCGCGAGGGGCGAGTGGTCTGGGATTCTCGACGCTTGAAGTGTCGACACTTGCCTTCATCTTCTGCACGTTGCACACTTTCTTCTTCTGGTACTATAAACCTCTGGATCCGGAATTACAGAAAATCGTGCCCGTGGTCACTGACATCACGCACTTATTTCAACGTTCTGGCATTTCTCTTGATTCCCTAGAATCTTATACATTGACGCCGCTCGACTTCGTCAAGCCGCCCCCAGATTCAAGGAGCCTTATCACGCCATTCTGGTTCGGACTCATGGTTGTCTTCGGCCAGGTGCGCAGGAGATATCTTGCTTCAAATTTTATCTTTTTAGAATTCTGAATGAGATAGAAGCTCTTCACCTTGGGCCATGTGGAAAATTGTTGAGGCACTTCAAGCAGTGGCATACAGGTGTAAATACCTATGAGACAGAGTGCTTGATGAGTGCCAATTCTTTTTCACGCCCAGCGTGCCAGCCAAGCATGGCTCCCTGGTGGTGTGCCTCTACTGGTCGAAGTGATGTCTCGCCTGAAGTGATACTCGTGTTGGTCATTGAAATATTCTATGTGCTTTGCAACCCAAAGCCGTATGCTCTGGGGCAGAACAAGATGTTCATTCGTGAACTGTTTCATTTTTATAAAGAACCAATGTTTATGTAGAAGTGTGTAGAATACCAAACCGCTGAGCCTTAGTCAGCTCACGACCTCATCGAACCACTGCCCGCAACTACCACCATCGCTCAACAATACCACCTCCACACCCGCCCTCTCACTGCTCTCCGTAATCAAACATAGCCACACGCATCCCAAACTAAAACCCCGCCTCAATTGCGCTCCTCCCGACCCCTCAATGGCCTCAACCACCTCTCCTACGCCGGGAGCAGGTCCCCCGATCTCCTCCGCACCCAAATCACCCGTCGCCCGAAACCCAATCCCTCTTTCCGCAGGCCAGGAGCAACAAGTACGGGATCTGTACTACAAACGCGTGCGGACGAAGTGTGCGGATGAAATAAGAGGTAGGAGTCCTCAAAATCCAACCTCTAATACACTCTACATCTCCTCTCACAGTTCAATTATACCCCAGTTGATATCCAACAACCACCCTCTTAACCCAGCTATTCAATCCCCAAAGCCCCTATGCACTCACAAAATCCCCCACGTGCTAACTGACCGTTTTCAAATATAGATTTCGCATCTTGCGCCCTCAACCGCACCATTAGCGCCACTTGGGCCTGCCGGCCGCAACGCCTCGCTATGAACGCCTGCATGGTGCAGCACGCGACACAAGCTGAGCAAGACGCCGCGCGGGAGGATTGGTTCCTGGGGATGGATGCACGGCGGAAAGAACGCGAAGAGAAGGAAGCGAAGCGGATTGAGCAGGAGAAGTTTCATCGCGAGTGGTGGGGGCTGGATGAGCGGGGGCGGAAGAAGTTGGATGAGGAGAGGGAACGGCAGAGGGCGGCGGGGGAGAGGTGAGAGGGAGCTGTGAAGGGGTTTCGAGTTTTGCATTGGCGGGCGTTCTGTTTGGGAAAATCATTATCCGGAGGGCAAAACGCTCTTCACGAGTGGTTGGCTGTACAATACTGTGAATATTACACTCGAAATGAGCTTGTTATATTTATTTGTTGCAGCACCGATCTGTGTTACAGAGATGCGAAATGGAAAAAAGGAAACTAGTTCAGCTCTGGTATTTGGACCCTAGACCCCGGCGCCTGTAAATGCTTCGATTCCGGAACACCTTGCCATTGAGCCAAGCTCCAGATGTTTGAATGAGCTTGGTGTTATCTGTCCCAGCAATGTGACCAAACTTTTGAGCTTCCAACGCGAAAGCTCCAACTCTCACACTCTCTTCACTCCTCACCCATCGACCATATCCACCTCCCGCCCTCCAACACCCATAACCTCCTCGAACTCCTCATCCTCATCCATTTCCTCCTCCTGCGCCGCCCCCATTCCTCCCATTACCGCATCCACCTGCACTCCCACCATTTTCTCCCCCTCCCCCCCCTCGCTCTCCCACTCATCCCTAACCCCCCACCCCACTCCGGTCAAGCAGTACCTCTCCGGCGGCAACCGTACCCCATACTCCCGTTCCACCCTCGGCAATGCCACCCGATTCCTCTCCCCTGCCACCTCCGCCAAAAACTCCTTCGGCAACGCAGGCTGAAACTGGTATGCTGCCTTCGCACTAACCGCCGTCCTCAACGCCGCCAGACTAACCCCCGAATCCTCCCCACTACTCGCGCCCTTCTTCCCCGACGGCGCCGGCGCCGGCTCGCCATACGACAGCGCGTCGCTGAGGACGGAGCTGGTGTAGCGGTAGGCGAAGTCGAGCAGCTGCAGCGGCACGCGCTCGCTGTAAGCGTGGACGCCCATGTTCGCGAGGACGAGATGGAGGAGCCGTGCGTCGCGGGGCCGTTTCGTGGTGCCGGTGTCTGAGAGAGAGGTGCGGGGGTAGGCAGGCGGTTGCTGGGTCGCTGCGGCGCTGTTTGCGGCGGTGCCGGTGGAGGATTGCGAAAGGCCGTTGGGGAGTTGGGTGGGCTGCGATTGCGGCTGTGATTGTGTGGCTTGTTGCGTAGAGGTGGGCGGGCTGGGGTTTGGGCCTGCGGTCGAGTTGGTGGTGGGAGGTGTCGAGATGCCGTTTGGCAGGTCGGCGGCCGCGGGCGACGCCATGGTTTGCGGTGGATGGGGTTTTGGTGTGCACTTTGGCTGGGTGTGGGTCGTGATGGTTGGTGGTTGGGTTTGTGAGCGTCGTAGGAGCTTTTTGAGGTTGTCGAGGTTGTCGTAGATTTGATGGAGGTGAAGTCGCGGCGATGCGCGAAGTGAGGTCGATCGGTCCGTTTAGTGCCGATATATCTTGGCATTCCCAAAAGACGTCACTGTTTTTGCTCGTCGCGCAACTGAGTTATTCCTAGTCCTTAATTAAGCTAAAGCTAGCGGTGCACATTAGTAGTACAGGTCTTCAGAACGTCTCTGACCGAGGCTGAAGAACTGCGGCTCAGGCGAGTTTCAAAGGAATAATGGCCGGTGGACTAGAATAAGGCTTTGCGTTCGACTGCATCATGAATACTTCATTGTCGATGAGCCATATCAGGGTTGAGGTGATACTGAATACTCATACGCTCCTTTCTGATCTATTCTGTAGCTCTATGAAGATGCGAAATAGCTAAAGTATAACGGCATGAAGAGACAACACTCTCATATCCCGTCTTCTCAGCTAACGCATCCCTCACCCTCGCAGTCTAACGAAGACTTCAATTCTCAACAATTTTCGCGGAACCACTCGAGGGCCGCTCTGTGCCACACTTTCGAGAGGGATTCTATTGCGCGGCCTTCCCTAAGGAAGGGGTCCCGTGGGGATGCCATGTTCTGTTTTAGGCGTAAGATTAGGGCTGATATTCAGCGCATGCCCGGAGGGTTTCTTGGAAAGCTTGTTGTCGTGTTCTGTGCTGATTACGAAGCCGAGACGTCTGATTTTATTGGCTTGGGCTGCTTTTTTGTCTTCCCGGCTTTTTTGATTGTTTTACTGTCTTTCTTTCTCTCAGCCTTCTTTCTCTCAGCCTTCTTTCTCTCGGCTTTCTTTTTCTCAGCTTTCTTTTCTTGAGCTCTCTTTTTCTCGGCTTTCTTTTCGATGCGGCGAGCGTTGTACACTCCTAGCGTTATGCCCTTCTCTTTCGCGCGGACTTCAGTCTTTCCGCTGCTCGTCGGCGAGCGGCTTAGCTTTTGCAGTGAGGTTACTCATGCCTCTCTCTTTTTCGATATTCTGGTATTCTTTCTTGGCCTTCTTTTTGTTTGACTTTAAGATTCTCTTTTCTTCCTTCTGGACTTTCTTCGCTGCTTTAGATTCTTCCTTGTGTCTCTTTAACACCTTCTCCGGCGTGAGGTGTTCCATGCCGGGGAGCTCACCCCGTCCTTGAGCTTCCCTGATAAGACGGAACTTGAGTTCTCGTTTAGCCTCGCGAATAGCTTTCTCGTCGACGATTTTGGCCTTTTTGTTGGACAAATTCTTCTCTGGCTTGGTGGGTTCCTGGGGAGTAACTTGTATCTATCGAATAATATTAGAGATCTTGAATCTGAGCTGGACACAAGAAGCCCTTACCTGAAGTTTCACACCCCCATTGAGCATCTTCATCCTATCCGAATGAATCCCACAACCAGCATCCTCCTCCTTTTCCTGCGGCAGGCTAGGATCTAGCGTGCCCACATCAAATCTTCCCCTCTTGGACTGCTGTTTGATCAACGCTGTAGCCCTCCGATTAATCTTCGCGATCTGTTCCAGCGTTGTCTGCAGTTGGCCGTTGTTCTGCGTGTCCCGCCTCTCCCCTTTCCGCCGCTTAGCCCCCTCCTCTTTCGTCTCCCCAGGCGACCTCTTGCGCTTCTTGTTTGTTTCAACCACCACAATTGCCTCCTCACGCGTAGCCGTCTCATCCCCGTTCTCGTCTTCAGAGGCATCATCACCCACATCCGAAGCCGACGTCGGCGGTGTACTCGTCGTCGTAGTGACCTCCGAATTACTCATCGTTCCCTCTAACCCCTCTCCCCTCACAAAAAACCCATACAACCCACCCTGACTAACGCCCTTCTCGCGGACCGTCTGCAGCGTAGTCTACTCAACCAATTAGCCTTTGTCCGTATTCCTCGACCCTCCCTTGTATGCACTCACCACCTTCCCCGTCCCCAACTCCCTCAAGCCCTCGTCTAACGCCCTGGCCCACCACTGATCGCTCGTCCTGACCGCCTTGCTCCTTGCGCCCACGCCACTCAGATCCCGCTTCGATGATACTAGCAACGGTTTCGCGATGCCGCGGTTGTGTGGGTCCAGGGAGTGGCCTTTGCCGCGCCAGCCGTGGCGGGTGAGGAGGGCGGAGGCGTCCATATTTCGGTGCGTAGTTAAGGAGTGTTGGGGGTAGTCTACTATGGAGTAGACATAGCTGATTTGAGAGAATAGGAGGGAACGGAAGGGTTGAGGGAAATTGATTTTGAAAAGTGATGGGAGGTGAAGATAAAAATTGCGCAGGGATCTGGGAGCGAAATCTTGGCGCGCTAGGGAGGGGCATACAAGGGGGTAACATGAGCGGGCCAGCAGCGCTCCCTGCTAGCGCTTATTGCCACCTCCATTTGCCACGTAATAACCTGTGCTTATTCAGTAACTAATACTTTGTTGGACCTCCATCTGCAGCAATTACAGCAAGGCAGCGCTCCCTCATGTTGCCTGTATACTTCTCGAATTCTTCGGGCTCGAGCTTCTCCCATTCCTCCTCAGCATACTGCCTCACTTCCTCCTTTGTTGTAGGGAACCGGCGTTGTATTCTCCCCTTCAATAGCCTCCAGAC